CAACTAAAATAAATAATAATAATACAATAACATAAAATAACTCATAAATAGATGCTCCTGATCATGAACGTCGATCTGCGATGTCTCCTGTGATATACACGGTGGAATCTTCTACTGATGTCCTCATCAAAAAGGGTAGAAACAACCGCACTATCCATGATTTAGCATACATTATGGATGGGTTTGAAGTGCCCCTCCCCTAAATCTCTCCCCACAATTGTCTTTGTGTTGGTCATCTTTGTCCTTTTGTGACCCTAAGAAAGATGGAAAGGTGACGACATAGCTTCCTCGTCCACGAGTTGAAGATTATCAAAAGGAGTTTGGCATGTTCCTCTAATGTGGTGGATTTTATTATCTCATAAGGAATCTGTGGCTAATCCACTGAATAGGTTTGGTCCAATTCAACCGTAAATTAATGGATGTTATTTATTGTATAAAATAATACTTAATTATAATTTAATCTTAATTTTCATGCTCCAACACTACAGTTATTGTTTTGTCTCTTTTTTTTAATCATATACTATCCTGGTGGTTGAAGAGAAAATATTAGAAAATGGCGATGATATCACATGTGCTATATAGAATTGAGTCATTGGCAGTAGACAATAACAACAACAATAACATCAAGCCTTTATCTCACTAGGTGGGGTCGGCTACATGAATCCTTTTTCTCCATTGTGTCCAGTTAAGAGTCAAATTCTCATTTAGATCTAATAAAGAAAGGTCATTTCTAATATTTTCTAACCAAGTCTTTTGAGGTCTATCTCTACCTTTCTTAACATAAGTTAAATCTAATACATCTACTCTCATAACCAAACCATTTAAGGAGACTCTCTCTAATCTTATATGCCATTGGAGCTACTCCAACATTTTCACATATATGCTCATTTCGTATCTTGTCTCTAAGAGTAAAGCCATTCATCCACCTGAGCATCCTCATCTCTACAATACTTAACTTAATATTATGCTTCTCTTTTAATGACCAACATTTTGCGCTATAAAGCATTGCAGGTCTAACTACCATCTTATAGAATATACCCTTAAGTTTGAGTGGTACTTTTTATCACACAAAAAGCTCGATGCATTCCTCCACTCCATCCATTCAACTAGAATTCTACTAATACTATCCCCATCTATTTCACCATCACTCTGAACAATAGACCCAAGATATCTATAACATGTACTCTCATTAATGACTTGATTGCTCAAAGTCACAAGCCCCCAACTAGATCTATTACTACTAAAATTACACTCCATGTATTTGGTTTTAGATCTACTCAAACGAAAACCTTTAGATTCTAAGGTTGACCTTCATAATTCAAGTTTACCTTCAACTCCCTCTTTAGTCTTATCAGCAAGAAGAATATTGTTAGCAAAAAGCATACAATAGGGAATATCCTCTTGCAAATCTCTAGTCACCCAATGTCTAAAATAGTTTATTCATTTAGTGGGCCTTTTACCTAACTCAATAACCTTAAAAATGATAGAAAATTACTATTTTTTGAAAGTTTACATAATATTTGAAGTATTATATGCAGCTATTCGACATTTTGATTTTCTCAGTTAATAGACATTCTCCATCTCCTGTGGTTAAGTATGCTTTATGCTTGTATGTCTCTTTTAGTTCTCTTAAGGATCATTTAAAAAGGAAATGCTAGCAGCATCATGTCATGTCTATATCACTAAATACAGTTAGCATATACTTTTTCTTCTATTCTGAAATGGTATACATGTTTAAATACTTAAAATGGTCAGCCTTTGATTCAAGTTCGTCCGTGCATCCTATCTCAGTTTTTTCTTTTTATGTTGCCTATCTATACTATTAATGATTTATCTGAAATTTGTGAGTCATTTTAAATCCAATGAAGGTTTATCTACCCTGTATCATTCACTGGAATGCTTGTCAATGCAAATATTGCTATTCGTATATTGCTATTCGTAATATTTATTACAAGGTCATTGCAGATGCTTTGTCAGACTGATGCATATGCAAAATTTCTTTTTTGTCATGTTGCCCATCTATAATATTAATGATTTATCTGAAAAGTTTGTGTTAATCTAAATTCAGTGAAGGTTTAATCTAAAAAACGTTTATCAACTCAGTGATTTTCTTAGAAGATGGATGTCCCTTATGGCCTGTGGCTATTGACCCTTTGTCGCCTATCCCATTATTTCTCTTTAATATCATATAAGGTTATGAGAGCTAATTTACCTTTCACATCTGACCTTTTTCCTGTATAACATCATTAGAATATTCAAGAGTGCATAGCTATTTAATTTAAACTTTTTAATGCATCCTAACCAAAGCTACTTTCTTATGTTTCTATAACCCAATGTCTAAATTAGATTAGTCATTCTCGATTTAATGAGCTTTCACCCAACCCAATAACCCAAAAAATATATAACATTATTGCTTTTGAGGGGCCGATATGCAACTATCGGACATTTGTTTATCTCGGGTAATAGACATGCTCCACTTCCTAGAGCTATGGATGCTTTATGCTCGTCTGTCCCTTTATGCTTCCTTAAGGATGATATAAAACGAAAATGCTTGCAGCATCGTGTCATGTCTTTATACTAAATAAATAAATAAATAAATAATTGTATATATATATATCCATCTTGAAATGCTGTGTATGTTCAAATGCTGAAAATGGCTTACCTTTGATTTAAGCTCTTCCATGCATCGTATCATAGTTTATTTCTTTTTTATGTTGCCTATCTGTACAATTAATGATTTATCTGAAATTTAGTCATTCTAAATCTAATGAAGGTATATCTAATTCTTCCTTGTATCATTCATGAAGAATACTCATGCTATTGATAATATTTTATGACTAGGTTTCAATTCTAATGCTTCGACATCCTCCTGTACATGCAAAATTTCTTTGTAATTATGTTATCTATATGTAATATTAAAGATTCATCTGTAAATTTTGAGTTAATCTAAATCCAGTGATTGTTTATGCACCCTGTATCCTTTAAGAATACTCGTGGATGTAAATTTTTCTATTGATAATTTTTTATTATTAGTTCCTAAGGTCGATGCTTTGACAGCCTCTTGCAGATGCAATACACTATAAAAATACTGAAGTTATCAAGCTTTTAGAAAAACATGGAGCTAAACTTCAGGTATGCATTATTTAAATTTTCCATGTAATTTGGTTTTGAAAAGATTTGTAGAGTTTAGCAACCTTTTTTAGCTTATCTCTGTGATTTTTATTTCTTGATATGTTTATCCCCAGATTGCTCCTATGCATGTTAAAAATCTTCGTGAAGTACCCGAATATGAGATAGATCCTAGTGAACTTGATTTCTCTAACAGTGTTCAAATTACTAAGGTATATTTGCCATCTTTTTTTTTTTCCAAGTATTTTATTTAATATTCATAGCTTTTAAGATGCATGATCACTATAATTAATGCAGTCCTCAATATGTCTCTTTACACGAAGAAAAATTATTTATCTTTATGCCTTCATTACATGGATACATGGTTTTCAGGCTGTGTTTTGTGCTCTATGCCTGCCTTTTAAAATTTACTTTTATTTAATATATGTTATATGTCAGTTAAAGCCAATTATCCTGAATTTTATCTTCTATTTATAATTAAAATGAAATTTCTGATGAAGTGGTGTGATGTCTTCTTATTCTTCTATAATTTTGTGAGGTTGGTCTGTTATATCATGATGGCTACTGTGTACTATAAGGATTTATCCGAAATCTCTCTGCTATTATATTTTGATGCTACTATTATTGTAGTTAAAAGAAAAAAACAAACCATTTTCAGGGAACATTCCACATGGCGACATGGCGTGGAGTCCAGGTTGCTGTTAAAAGGCTTGATGAAGATGTGATATCCGATGAGGATAAAGTGTGGGTTTGGTCATTAAATTCAATATAGTTGATGTTTACTTGATGTTCTTGGCTATAACTATCCTCCTTACTATATTAGCACTTTTGGATTCAACTTTTCTTATTTATCAAATGTTTACTTTCTTGTTACTTGTTGCAGGAAGGCATTTAGGGATGAACTTGCACTGCTCCAGAAAATAAGGCATCCTAATGTTGTCCAATTTTTAGGCGCTGTTACTCAAAGCAGTCCTATGATGATTGTTACGGAATATTTGCCCAAGGTTGTTTAATGCACTAAGAATGACAGTTTTTCTTGATGTTTAGAAACCATTTTGTTGGTTTTGTTTTATTATTTAAACATAATGCTGCTTGTTTGCTACCTTTTGCTTAATACATTGTTACTTTAAACAGAAAGTCAAATATTGTTTATTCCTTGTCATGTTAGCAAGTATTGTCTAGAACTATTCATTTATTGCTGATGCATCATTTATAAAAGATCATAACTACATGATTGCAACATGGCAATTATGACCGAACGGTTAACTTGAAGTGTTTAACTGTTTCTTTTTTGAGAAAATTGATGTATCATCACTTCGAAATTAATACCTTTCATGAATATTAATTTTTGTTACTAGCTGTTTGTATGGTTAGAAAGAAGAGTTTAGATAAAATGAATATTTGAAGATTGGAATAGCATGCCTTTTTTGTAATTTTGGATTTTTGAATGGAAAATCTAGATTATTAAAAGGAGTGTATATCAAATGTTTAAAAAACTGTATGAAAAGGGGAGGGTCCAAATTTATTGAGGACTGTTTGCAAGATGAATGGATAAGCCCTATTATTATCTTATAACCTAAGATCTATTATTTATATTAGTAGTTAAACGTTAATGGACATACTACTAATAAGATAGTGAGTCATGTCCAAATGGCAAATGATCATCTTATCTCTGACAAAAAAAAATGTCACATGAGGATAATGGCATAAGATATAACACATCAAAGAATGATGTAATAATGTACCACTAAAGAATATAATTATAATGACAGGCAAATGAGAGGGGGTGGGGAAGGGAGATCAGAAAGGTGAAAGAGGGTAGAGAGGGTGAGAGGTGAATACCCAAATTATTTATAGTCATTACCTCGGCCAGATGGGCGAAGACCCCAAACATTGGTGATTGTTTCTGTGGGTAGAAATTAGGCATTCGGGTGTGAAATGGTCATGAAAATTGTGCGTGGAAGAAAGAGAAAAAGGGGATTGGGTGTTGATATAAAATTATTGTAACAAGTTTGTTTTAAGGAAATGAAATTACTATCATTACTACCATTTTGTCATTAAGAGAGCAGCTCAGTACAGTTTAACAATTCGCTTCCAAAATAAATTACAGAACGTTAACTACCTAGTTTTGACATCTGTTGACTTTATCTTACAAAGATTTGTTTTACTAACGTTGTTATCATTACACGAGTGTCTGACTGAATCTTTCTTTTCACTTTTGCACAACTTTTCTCTTTGAATGCAGGGTGACCTCCGAGCCTTCTTAAAAAGAAAAGGGGCCTTAAAGCCACTATTGGCAGTAACATTTGGGCTGGATATTGCAAGGTTTGTAACTTTTTTATGCTGAATTATTTGGAAAGTTTGCCAAAACCTTCCTAACTAAAATGTGAATGAATCTTCCGATATTGCACGTATTAACTTTACTTTGACAATTACATTGGAATGTTTAGAATGCATTTTTACGTGAATTGCTACCGTTCTCTGGTCTTTTAGGGGAATGAATTATTTGCATGAACATAAACCTGAAGCAATCATCCACCGAGACCTTGAGCCCTCGTAAGTTTACCTGTGCGTTTTTTGTGCCTTTCTTATTTGGACCACTATATTCTTTTTCCTATTTACTTGAATGTTCTGAAATGATTCAAGTGTTTTCTGCACTCATTGCAAGAAAACAGAAATATTTTGCGGGATGATTCAGGACACCTGAAAGTTGCAGACTTTGGCCTGAGCAAGTTGCTGAACATGACTAAATCTGTCAGAGAGGATCAACCACTGGTTTGTGAAGACAATGGCTGTGAGTTGTTGCAGCTGTTCATGTTTTACCCTTTGAAAATGTTAATAAATGTATTCCATTACCTAAATAATTTGGGCCTTGTTTGGCACGCTTTAGCTGCAGTGATTAAAAACTGACATATCACAATTGTTTAGAGGTATACTTTTGGTAACTTGATAATAAGTTGTAAAGAATAGTTTCAGGACGTTAGTCATGTTGACCACAACAGGAAACAATAAAAAAGAGAAAAATCAAAATCAAGCAAAAAAAAAAAAAAAATCCACATAATCCCCAAAAACCTGCCAAAAATCCCGCTAACTTGCAATCGGCGCCGTTCGAGTCTATATCCCGGAAATCCTGCTCAAAATCTGCTATCTCGCCTCGATCGAGAGCCCAAATCGTCGTTAAAAGGCCATCAAACGAAGCCTTTCGGCTGCTTAGACTCCCCCATTCGCCTCTCCCATGCGACCGAACTCCCGTCACTACCTCTGATCTCTCGCAAACACCTCCTGAACCTCCATCTCCTCCTCCAAGCCGAACCCCTACCACCTCTTCGACTCCTTGTCATCGTCCGATTTCGCACCTCCAACGCCTTTCCCTGTCAGTTGGAGCTGAAGCTCTGACATTTGATCGGAAGCAATATACGAGAGCTCGCTTGTTCCGGCAGTAACTTTCTCCCTTCCCGTAGCTCCACCGCCTCCTTCGTGGTTGTCCGACTTTGCTCCTTCCACGACCTCCCTTCCCATCCGACTGGAAGTAGCGACACTTTGATCGGAAGCAACAGTAGCTCGCTCGCATGAAGGTAACTCTCTATTAATTATAATTAATGATAATTAATTATCATTAACAATAATTAAGTATTATTTTTTAATTATAATTAATTATTATTAGTAATTAATTATAATTAATTTCTAAAAAAAAGAGATAAAAAAATACAAATGCAAATGCTTCTCTTCCCTTGACTCGATCAGTGTGCAAACTTCGTCGTCGTCTTCGGTATGCAAAGGTATAATCCTTATAAACCATAAAACTCCGAGAACTTGCTTTTGACGCTTGTAATGCGACAAAACAATCACCTATACACGTTTTTCTTAGCGTGGTAGGAGGAAGTTCATCGCAGTGCTCTTGACAAATCGGGTAATCACCTAAAATCCCTTCTTTCGTGTTCGTTGCGCACCGGAAAATCACATATACATGCTTTTTTTAGCGTGGTGGGATGGGAACCCGGTACGATGCGTACAACAAAGTGGGGATACCCATAAGTACGCGTTTATGGGGAAATAACTATTTTTCTTTTGCAACATATACTAAAGACCCATACACGCTTTTCTTAGCGTGGTGGGGGATAAAAAATATACGGCCGTGGTGTCCTCGTCCGAGGACACCTATCATACACGCTTTTCTTAGCGTGGTGGGAAGGCCCAGTTTTCCATAGTTTTTCCCTAAACGGAGGAGATGTCGGGAGGCTGCCAAGATTTCAGGTAAACGTACAATCGCACTTGGACTTGATTGAACACAAAGAATTTGCAAGGACTTATGAACTTGGACTTGATTTAATCAAAACTTGGACTTGATTTAATCAATCATAATGGACTACTTGAACTTAAACTCAAATGAATTTGAATAATATAAGAGAACTTGATTGAATTCAAAGAATAATATAAGATTTGGACTTGATTGAGCAATAATAGACTCTAGAACTTATATTTGAACTTGAATGGAGTTTGAACTCAAGAAGACAACAAGGAATCCAAGCATGAACTTAACCTGACTCGAACTAGAACTTGAGTCAAGTTTGACTGCATGGAGTAAATTTATTTGGGCTTGAATGTGATATGAGCTGCAATGACATTGAATTAAAACTTGAATTAGCGTTTGAACTTGACAAAGAACTCAAACTTGAATCATATGCAAGTGGACTTGAATTGGTACGTTGAATTAGAACTCGAACTCAAGATTGAATCTATTTTGAGCTCTGCATTGAACAACAGAGGACTCAAGGGACTTGAGTTTGAATGGACTATAATGAGCATAACATGTCTACAAATAACTACAAAAAATTTATGAATACTCATGAATGACATCACAAGACTTGCCTACAAACAAGTGTAGAAGACTTGTAATGAACATGTGATGTAAACGACGGCACACCTGCAACTCGCTTATGGTTAAAAGAACAAGAATGACATGCCTATGATAAGTATGACAATCCACTTATTGAAGGAGTGTGACAATCCACTTATCGAAAGGGGACATGATGCATGTGATGAATATATTAGTCAATATGTTCGTGATGCATATAATGATATACCCATTGGCTAAAGTCAAAGAGAGTTATAGTTAATGAGGCATCTTGCTTACGATGACAGATGAGTAGCCATCTATAGGTAGTGACAGTGGATATGTGATATATGCAAAAATATTTTCATATCCAACAACAATTGGACACCTAGCAGATGAGCCCCCTGTGGATGGAGGTTGGCATGCGATGAACATAACAAGTTACAATATGTACCACAGATCACCTCTAAAAATAACAAAAAGCTTGTAAACACAAGCATCATGCGAAAAATGATACAATATATATTCACGAGCAATGTGTGAAGGGCATTTAGCAGATGAAATAACTGCTTTACAACACTTCAACAATCAACATCAAGATGCAAACAAGCACACTGATCCATATGCAATCAAGAGCGAAAGATCTGCAATAAATACAATCTCTCTACAAATATAGATGTATGTACTACATGCCATTTGTGGGTAGATGCAGCAAGACTTTAGTAAATGCAGTATCATGAAGTCATTTTTAGCCTATGAATGAATACATCTACCTGCATATGAGCAATAATAGCGAATGTACTAAAAAGGCCAAATACTGTAGCCACATGTTGTACACCTAATATGTCGTCCACAAGAAAGTCACAAAGGAGTTACAGCATATGCAAGCATATACAACTGAAAGCAGGAGATTAGCTAGTGCACTACAATTCACCTGCAAAAAGTGATAAGTAGTGCACGACAGTCTATCTGTATAAAGTAGCAAATAATTCTATTCAGAAGCTGCTACAATACGCCACCGGACCCGCAACATCTATGCAAGTGGACAGAAGGTGTTTACAAATGTTTCAAAGTACTCCCGTACATGCACCGTAGTTTGTATTCACATAGGTACACAAATGGGTAAATGCAATCACAAAACCCGCATGGTCCCGGGCGAGCGTGTTATTAGTACACACGCGACGTCTAGGGATGCTGCGCGGGTCATTCAATTTAAACATGATCCTCCTAAGCGGGTAAATAGGAGTAGATAAGGATCAACAAATAATCATAAAATACCACCAAACATTCGCACGGGCTCCAGTGAGCGTGTTATAAGTACACACGTGACGTGACGTCTGGGCATGCTGCGTGGGTCAATAAGGAATTCAGATTCGAACCCGATTCCTTCTATGCGGATCAATAGGAGTTGACAGGGTTCGAATCATCAAACAAATATACGATTGTGAGGACCAGCATATTTATTTTAATACATTCATATTAGACCTTCAAGGCCTACAACAATGAAAATTCACTAATAAAGGCACAATGCATATGACGAACCCAATCCCCTACCGGCAAGTTGATAGGGTCGACAAGGTTTAGTCAATGAAAATGCCCCCAAACACCTCGATGATGGCTGTATTGAATGTTTATCTCAACCGGAAGGGTTCACCAACACTTTTAAATGCCTTCCAAACGTCACCCAAATGCTCATCACGACTTCAAAACTCCACCAAAATCCAAAAATAATCCAAAACTCCACAAAATATCAAATCCAAATATTTAAAATTAAATTTCAACCATTCAAGCGCTTAAAGCAAAATCCATCCATCCTCCGCAATAGTTTGCCGAGGTGGGCAAATTAAAATTTACTTCAGCTCACATAAAGCTAATGCCTAGTCGAAAATATCACTAGGATCCATTCTTAAACAATCTCCTGCCAATAAGGGCGTGGTATGTGTCCTTTGACCGACGATTTTTCCACCAAATGACACCACAGGATAAACGATTATTACTCGGGGCCCTCTAACTGAGTTGTTTTGTCGCCAAATGACACCACGAAATACCGGTTATAGTCATAGCCAATATGCTTCTTAGTGTCATCAAATCCTTGAGATATGAATCAATAGGATATGATCGATAGGGCACAAAGCCCTCTGTTAGCTAAGGTGAGTTCAAATTTGTTCCCTTAGGCAAATATCCACTCCAGGTCTACAAGGTATCTTTGGATGAAGAAACTCATGGCTGTCGACAAGGATCCTTCTGCTAGGTTGGTCGACTACCTCCTCTGACTAAGTAGACCAGGGACCACGATGGCCCGGATGACGGAACCATGGGATCCTGATCGGATCCATCATTCATTCCCCCACCATACGCTTTAAGTGCAAGATGGTGAAATTTCAAGTTTTAAATATCAACCCCTTTTCAATTCTCAAGCCCATGCTGCTACTATATGCCTGATACCTTGTATCTACGGATACGATGTATTCATCAACGACTAGCCTTAATCAAAAGTTCTCTCTCGTGATCGGGAGGTTTAATTAACTATAGGGGCTTGTGCCTATAGGAAACCAGAACTCAGATTATAAAGTCCTCGTAAAATGAGGGCGAAATCTCTGGGTAGTGTCTTATTTACAAACCCATCTGCCTTCCCAAAATTTACCCCAGAACTTAATTCCGTTAAAACTCCCCCCAAAAAGAAAAAGCAACAGTCGAGCGGATGTCGGGGCCGAATTTTCGGAGCCCACAAGTCAACACTTAATAGTATTGAATGAGGAAGGAGAATTCATAAAGCTGATTTTAAAATTGTTGGGATATGGTTAAAGTTGGTGATAATGGTCACAATTTTATTAGAAAATGCGCGAGAAAGATTGCTAAATTGGAAATGCACTTCCTTGATGGCTTCATGGCCATGGGGATGTTACAAGAATTGGTGAGAATTGGTCTGATTATTTTATTAAAATATTTGTGTAGTATTGAAAGAATCCTAGGAGAGCTTCTAATAAGAAACACACCAAATCACAATAATCTCCAAATTGATGAGTTCATAGGATAATAATTATAGAATAATTATAGCAAAGTCCATGAATTGATAAGTAGATGGTAGAGATCACATGGTTCAGTTAGGTGACAACAAAAAGAAGAAAGAAATAAGGTAGAATTCTTGGTGAGCGTGGGTCCCAATTGGCAAAATTATGAAGGCATTTTACCAATTGACAATTTAATCCTCCTCGGTATGTATTAGAGAGAAATTGGCATATTTGTTTAAAGTGAATTAGGTTTGTTTTAAGTCTCTCCATTACATGATGGACTAGGGTTTACTTTGATATGGGGTCCAAATTTCCCGTGTGCTAGCCTTTATAGTTAATTATCTTTTATGCTGGTGGAAAAGCACTGTCGATTAGTGATGTTTCTTGGGCTTAAATGTTATGCTTAGACTTAATATTTAATTTGAATTGAATTAACTGGGATTTTTTTTCCGTGTGGATGTAACAGCTGGGTGGAGGTAAATTTGATCAAACTACCCGCTAGAGTTTCAATGTACCAATTCTGTCAACTTTAGAGGACTTTATATTATAATGTATAGGAAATTTGATTAACAATGGTTTTCCTTCTCTTTTCCATCATGAGTTAATTAGGAGGGATGCATATTCGTCTTTTGAGATTGATGTCAACTTGATTTTAAGAATTTTTTTTTATCATACCTCTGTCATGAAGGCATGAAGCATGAATCACTTACGGTTCATAGGTATTAGACGGGACCGATAAGAGCCCAAAGACGTTGTAATCATTATTTATTCATTAATTTTTGCTTGCTCAAAGAAACATGTCTAAGACATGATTTTTTATTTTTGTGATTTTAATTGGCGTACTTTCTTTTGATTGGAGGGCTTTTTAGTAAGTGAATTGAATTGAATTTAGATTTATATCCATCAAAAGGTTCATAGATGGGACTTTCAACCTTGAAGATAATGAAAGCTCAATGACTGGCCTTATGTTCTTACCTTATAAAAAAGGCGTCTTGAGATAGACTCGATTATTCATATATTACCTATTTAGTTCCAGAGTATCATGTTTCTCCAATTTAATCTCTCAATTAATGATCCAAAATAATTCTCTTACAACTGAATTGAGATCAATTTTATATCACAATTACAACATAACAGACCGTTCAAATATTAAGTATTTTTTCTACTTAAAAGTACATTATAACATGTTTAAATGTTATTGGATTCCAAAATGGAACCAACGTACGTCTTGGATAGATGTTGCTTTAGGTATTTAATTTGAGGCTTATTGAGTATGATCTTTCTTCTTGCTCTCATTACTTAACAGGTAGCTAGTAGATGCAACCTACCATATATCTTCCTTTCTCGTTGATAGTTCAAATGGTGACAACAACATCTCACCCTTCTCTGACAAGCAAGAAAAGGGATTGAATACATTGGCGATATTAAAAATATGAATCTATGACAGTCGCCCATATATAATAATAGTTCAAGAATTACTTTCAAATTTTCTGCCATACCAAGTCGTCACAAAAAAGGAAATCCCTACTCCCTAGTCTGGGGGAGGACCTTTGGTGAATCAAAGATCAACAACGAAGGGTGGTCTCTGGCTTGGCAGCACGGTTCTTCACACTAAAGGGATCGAAGATTAATGATTTTTCGACAGTTTAATTGAATTTATTTGAGCTTTTAAAAACAATATTATTTCGTTTTTTTTCTCTTTTACTTATCCTGCCATCCTTGAAGAGGATGATGCCAACATCGAAATCCTCTTTGGGGAGCAAATGCCCTACCAGGAATAGAATTGTAAAATAACCATGTGTCCATCATTCGACAACAGCGCAATAGTTATTACCAGATTTTTAGCCGTACATAATTGCTGTTGAGAAAGATCACATCTTTGTTCTCGGATCAAAGGTTTATGGAGGGTGGTAGAACTCTGGTTTAAAAGGCCTTTAAACTCTGGCCGGGTCAAATATTAATGGTGCAAAGGTTGGTCTTCAATTTTGGTTGGATCAAACTTCACTGATCATGGGACTTCATGCTAATCAAATCAGAAGTGAACGACCCTACAAACTAACTAAATCAAAGATCAATGGTTCATGATTTTTTTTTTTAATTTCTAGATTTGTGTGTGAAGGGTTACCTCATGTGAAGTCAAACGGAGGTCATGTTTTGGTGTCAGAGCACTAGGAGGCTTGGAAATAAAAGTGATAAGAGCTTGTGCAAAGAAGATGGAGGTTGAAATTTAGTGAGAGAAGTCGGTTTTAGTTTATAAAAGTTTGCACAAAGAAGATAGAGGTTGTGAGATTGAGTCATCGAGTTGAGTAATGCAAGAATTGATTCATAGGGAGGTAGTGGGAGATAGCATCATTGGGCTTGGATAAACAAGTTCAAACAATAGATTGACAATGGAATCAGAGAGAGGAGGAGGTTTTAGTTGCAAGAGCAGCAAGGAAGATAGAGGTCTTGAAGAGAGTATTAGAAGATTGAGTTGCGTGAGAGACAATTTTTAGGGAGGTAGTGCGAAAGAGTATCATTGGGGTGCTCATCATTTGGGAGAGGAAGAGTAGGCCTAGATTTGAACATGCATGTGGTGAATGTTGTGAGTGGGAAGAATGAGCATATACTAGCACAAATAGTGAGCAGATGAAGTCTCCAATAGAAGCAAGTGCTGTGAAGGTGGTGAGTTGTGAGTAAGTGCAGACCTATTAGATTAGTGACCGTAGGTAGTGCTAACTGCTCTCTAATATCATGTTAGAGGAGGAAATTGATGTGAATTATTCTAGGGAGAGTCCTTTATTTATAATTAAGGAATGTATATAGTGATCTGTAGCAATCTTAAATAACATAAACCAGTCTAAAAATATAGAGGGCTTTTATATTAATATATTTATACTCTAATTGCACCTTCCATATTTAATCAAGACTTAGGTAGTCTAGTCATATATAATCCTTCTATGGCCTTTGCATTCTAATTTGACTTTTAGACTATTTCAATTGAAAATTTTTGTTTGAAATGGTTGGAATTGGAAACATCCTATTTTTGTTGGGGTTCAGCAATAACAACAACAAGTTGTTGTCTCACGATGTGGGGTTCACTACATGAATCCTTTTTCTCTATTGTATTCTATTAAGAGTTAAATTCTCATTTAAATAGGATCCCCAGGCTTATAAAAATTAAGTTGGAGTTTGTGGTTGTTAAATTGAGATCTTGCAATTTTTAGCCAGATTTTGGGGATTTTGTGAAACAGCTAATTTTGGGTATTTTTGGATTATAAATAGGATCTTGAAGCATATAAAAATTAAGTTGATGCTTAATATAGTTTGAGATTTTCTTTTAAATCTTGTCATTACTGTTAGATGTGAATTATTAGATTGCGGTTTAAGTCTTGACAATAATTTTCACATGAAGTTTCTCCTTGTACCACAATTAGATTTGGATTTTTTTATAAAGTGACTTATATTATTATATATATATATATATATATATTTTTTTTTTCCTTTTTTTACTTAGTGATTGGTTTCTTGCATATGATTGGAATTTGAGGAAATGAGCTACATTGACTTTCTTTTTGTGGAATGAATTATTTTCATTGCAGGCTTATTTTGGTTTTAGATTTCTTTCTTGGTTTTATGTTTAGGCGATCTTTTATTTTTTTTGAGTGAGTCTTATGCAGCATACTAGATAATTTTTGTATAAACTAAGAGTTAGTGAAATATGAGTTGGTGTTTTATATGTGAGCTTTTGTGCATCTCAACGTAGAGTCCTATTAGTAAACCCTAGATCCTAAGACGGGCTTTATCATTTGTTTTATTTGAAAATTCTCGAATACTAACATTAGCAATTGAGTATAATTTGTTTTTTGGAGTATTAATTTTGTAATGTGAAAATTCCTTGCTGATCAAGTTTTTCAAATGGAGCTAACTGTTTTTCTCACATTATTAATATGGAGAAGGTCAGCCTTGTTATGATATCCATCATGTCTAATGTTGTAGGAAATTGGTGAAAGTCTGTAAAACATTAATTAAAGGTTTGATTTTGAGCTGCTGAGAGAAAATACTGAAGCTTATGCATTTATTCAAACGTTTGTTAACCTGTTCACTATTTCCCCTAGAAGCTCCATTGCCGCGACAACGATATTTATTCTATTTTGTATAGAGCTATTGTATTCTCATATTTTTGGTTTCTGTTTTGAGTCTGCTTAATTTTTTTCCATAAGCATTAAAATCCAATGTCTACTAGTAACCGTTGAATTTGCAATTTATGTTCTAGTTATGCTGATTTTTATTTAACAGGCAGGTATGTAGCTCCAGAAGTATTTCGTAATGAAGAATATGACACAAAAGTGGATGTCTTTTCTTTTGCTTTGATTCTTCAAGAGGTATTGCATAGAAGTTAACTTCTTTGTTCTTTAGAAATTTAAAATCAAAGAGAAATTATCCCCTTTGCAATTATTATTTTTGTTCTCAACATGCATAGTAATTAGACAATTTGAATATTGATGATTACTGCATTACTCAGAATGACAGCGATGATATATCAAATTCTGTGTGAGCTTTTCTTGTTAATTGGACAGTATATAGATTTTGGTTTCTAAAAGGAAATTATTAAGTATTTTCATATCAACAACCTTCATTGTTAAAGCACAAAGAAGCATGCAATTTAAGTTTGTTGTTGAGCATATTGAAAGAGCTTCGCATCGTTCCATAAAGGGGGGCTTACATCGTAAAATGCAGTCAAAGAGGCGAAATGCATGCTTCGCCGTTACTTTGCAGTGTATTGCTCATGCTACACTATGATGTGAAACTACATGCGGGGAGTTGAGAATTGCACTTAAGAAATTAATAGAAGCAATGAATTGTAGCTTACTACCAAAACTCTTTGTTTACTCAAGTTGAGTTTAAGAATATGACATAGAAAGATTAAACAATGACAATCAATTACATATAGAGAGTTGAGGAGCCTCACAAAATAACACCAAAACTTAAATAATGCAAGTAGCTAGAAATAATCAAAAGCCCCAAATTTAAAGTCTAGATCCTTCACCTTGTGGTCCGTCACTCATTTTGAAAGTGGTGGCTAGCGGAAGAGAATTGTAAGTAGACTTAGCGATGCCACTAATAGGCAAGTGACCTTGAGAGGACTTGTCGCCGGGGAGGGAGCCGGGTTCGGAGGAGCGGATGGACGGCCTTCAATGATCCACGTGTAGACGGAAAAGTGGTCGTCGATAGAATCCACTAATGTTGGTAGAATCCGATCCAAATATTCTTCGACGGTGTCGTCAAAATCAAAGCCAACGTCGAAGAAGGGTGATTTGAGGATGTCAACTCTTCCTTGATTGTCGTACTCAAACCCAAAGTTCCACTCGGTTCCTCCATGCATTCTTGGAGATGAGGGTGGGTGGTCGCTGCAAAACGTTCTCAAATGAAGAGGAGAAGTGGCTCGGGTGGGAGGAAGGGAGGGAGACGGTGAGGGAGGAAACCAAGGGAAAACAGTAAATCTGAATTTATGCAGATTTCGGATAGATTGAGAGGGGTTTAAATTTGAAAATCAAATTAAACCAAGGAGGGACTCAAGGCGGTAAAGAGAGGGAGATTAGGGGCTTAATTTGGGGAGAATTTGGATAAATTATGGAGAGAGAGAGGAGCCATTGCAGGGGTGCGGCTGGACTAGGGAAAGAGCAAGAGGAGAAAATTTAGTAATGGGTGGTTCACTGGTTGATTAGCAGATTTTGAGTGAAATCTGTAATAAAACAGATTGTCACCAAAGGAAACTTTCCTCTAATTGAGGAATAGAGGTCAAGCACGTGAGTTTCAAATAGGTTATTAAAACTTAATTAAAACATATGCCCAAAATCTAGGAGTCAAATAAGGCAGGTAATCAAAGGCTTATGAGGAAGTTTGAAATTCAAATCCAGAATTTCACAGGGGCGGCGGGATGGAGCTGCGGGGCTGCTGGCGGGATGCTGGCCGACGGATGGCCGGGATGTGGCCGGCGGGAGGCTGGCCGGTGGTTGGCTGGACTGAGGCCGGAGGGAGGCTACCACCAGGGGAGGGGAAAGGGCCGATAGCCTGAGCTGTTCGGAATGGGCGGCGGTAACAACAAGGGGAGAAAAGAAATTGAAAATTTCTTGGGGTTCAACGATCGCGAGTTCACTAACCTTAATTGTAGTCAAGTTGACGTTCCACAATATTAACTAGTAATGAAAACTAGAACTCACGGAGAGATCTAGTTTTCTCCGGTGAACTCACTAAGAGATCTTGGAGTGAACTCACAAAGAGAACAAGAAGTAAATTTCATTTCATCAAAAACTAACTCATTCCAATACATGATGCCTCATATAAGGAGGTCCAAAAATAAAAACTGAAAAGACAGAAATGCCCTCTGGGCTACATAAGCAAAACAATGCCCTCAGGGGCAAACTCGGAAAACTAAAAGTACATATGAAATAAGCTGTAAATAAATCAGAAATAGAGGCTCTGGATCGTAGCCGTCGATCTGCGTCGCCGGCGATGATACACGTGTCGAAATCTGATGTCCCCATCACACTACTTCTTGTTCGAATAAGAAGATTGGTTGCAATGATGTGTTATTATCATGCATTGCTCGTCACATCACTATTTCCTATTACTAGTTGATAGTAAATTTTCTTATTAATGTTTGACTTGAAGATGTGTAAATCATTTCATAATATTTAATTATTTATATGTATGATGATTGTTAAAAAATATAATAATATTTAAGATTTTTTATGTTATTCTTTTTAAATGTAAGACGCTCTTTGTTTGCACCTTACACTTTACAAGTGAAAAAATCCTTTCGCATTGCATTGTGCATATATGGGTTAAAATTCACATTGGACTTCTCAAAATAAATCCAATAACTTTGAGACTCAAACTTAATAAAAAATGAGTTAGACTATCCTAATCCTTTTTTTCATTTTGAAAATGCTTAAAACACCCACCTAAAACTTATTTTCAATGTTTTTAGTAACAAATCATATTATTTTTTAAAATAACTTAACAAACACATTGCGTTAACTATTTCATCTCGTTAAAAAAAAAAAGATAACAAAAAATACTGTTTAATAGGACCTAATTTACTTTTGAGGAATTATCATGGATTGCTGAAGTTCTTGTGGTTTATGTTTTAACATCACTACTCTATCATTATGCTTATTGTGCAATTATATTGGCCTATTCTAAATTTAATTATTAAAAAGCCTATATAAATGGCTAATGGCTAATCATTTGTTAAACTAGTCCAAGAGGAACCGGCTTAGCCGACCCAACTTAGCAGGCAGAAGCGGGAGCCACACGCCCAGGGGGCGTAGGAGCCGCATGCGCAGGCGTAGGAGCCGCATGTGCTGGAGTTACGGGAAAGGAAAATTCGGCCCACATTGTGGGGCCCAACAAAGCAATAGTTCCACATGTTAGGAGATGGATTAAGGAATAAATTAATATGGGGGTTTGAACTCAAATAGGAAAGGGAGATTAGTAACGGAAGAAGGCTGTTTTGGGGGGAAATTGGGAGAGCTTATTTAGGACTTATTCTAGGGCTTGTTAGGGGGATTATGTATGTTTGAATTAAGAGCTGCTGTAGTTTCTTTTCCATGAGGGCTTCCTAGCAACATCTAGGTTGTTTGAGAGAGCGATCTACCTCTCGAATTGTAGATCACATGTATCAGGTTCTTCTTATTGCAGTTTCAATAAAAATCAGTCATCGTTTTGGTTTTCCTGCATTATTTCTAGTTGTTGTTTTTTTTGTCTCCAAGGCATATCAAATTGGTATCAGAGCATCTTCTTGGGAGGAAAAACAAGTTGTCTTCGCTAATTTTTGCTGTTGGAGCCTAGATCCAAATTAATGACATCCAAGAAGATGAAAGCAGTTGAAGGAAAGATGGACAACTCAAAAGACGGAGTAGAGGAAAAATATTCCTAGGTAGAGGGAAGACTCTCAGCCATCAAGAACCGCATTGGAAACTTTGAAGATATGATGAAAAAGATGCTTGAGATGTTGTCAAAAGCTTTACCGATGAATCCTACGGTTGAACAAAGGGGAAAAGAATTCAAGACTATGATGACGTGGAAAGTGTGTACCCTCAAGACCACTACGGGGTGCTCCTGAGGGTGGGCGAATCTAGGTATTCCAAAGGAAGGACAATAAGGAGGGAGATCAAACTCTTTGGGAGACTATTTGGGCATGTGGAGAGGTGGAATGGAGGAGGTCATGGCTGGGAGGAGCTATGGGGTCCAAGTCAACCAAGAGAGGAAGAGAGGGAATCACACCACCACTACATGGGAGGAACTAATGAAAGGAGAAACCATTGGGATGCCTCCATGACCCTGACACCGAGAACCTAGACGACGTCGTTTCAGAGGGAAGCATCGAAGGAGAAGGGCACTGGAGTTCGTACTGGATGAAACTTTAAGCGACTTACAGAAGCAAAGGTGCAGGATAGGCGGGCAAAAGGGTTATGTTTCAGATTTGAATAGAAGTATACCCGGAGGCATTGGTGAAAGGACCAAACTCTTCAGGTTCCACTGTCTGTGATGACGAGGAAGCCGAGGGGGAAGGTGGTAGTGAGGTATCGGTAAAGGAGGAAAGGCTGTATTTAGACATGGTAGAGGCCTCCTTGAACTTAGTGGTGGGATTCACTCCAAATCTCACCATGAAAGTGAGGAGAAATTGCATATTGGGAGGTAGGCAGGGGTGTCAAAACGAGTCAATGGGTCGAGTTCTGGTCCAACCCGAATTGATTCGGGTCCAAACGGGTTAACCCTAACACGATCCGGTTTTGCAAATAGATCAGGAATTCCAACCCGGATCTTACCCGCTCGGGTTACCAAGTTGACCCGAGACGACCCACAAACCCGGGCACAAACGCCTGAGCTAGAACTAACTCCAACAATCACGACGGCAGACGCTTGCCGTCGGCAATGACGTTGCAGGCAAGGGATTGGTCGTATGATTCGAATTGCTGATGAAGCTGGAGCTCGACCCTGCTCTTATGGTCGAATATTTCAACAAAGAGGTTGCAGGGTTGACTAGTCGAGCTGCGAGTTGGACTGCTGCGGGCGAGCACATAGAGGCGGGTCATGGGTTGGGACGCGAGGCTAACGCTGGACCGGACACTTCATAACCTATTTTTAATGCTTTTGCCTCATCTCGCCTCTCCATTTTCTTCTTAGTTTCAAATCACTCCTTTTCCTTTAATATATCTTTTATATCTATATCTTCATTCTTTTTTTTGCGAATTTATTAAATTAAGTGGAGGTTAGTAATTGAGCTGAGGAGCTTCTTAGATTTGAGTAGTGTGAGTAGAGAAAAAAAGATTAGATTTTGCAAAGAATAGATGGTTAAAAATGAGTTTTGGTGGATTGTTCGACAGCGACTCTGGCGATGGCAGACTGATTTCCGATTGACCTTATGGAAGCTTTGCCGTGGCGGCTAGCACACTTTCTCAGCCCTGCCACGTCTCAAATTTTGGTGTTCCTAAGCCTATGTTTGGCTCAACCGAACTCTCCCTTTGTCTTGTGAGCAATCACTTATGCCGTTACATTTTGTTAATTTCCTTCTTTCTAAAACTTTCCTTCTTTAAAGTTCCTTTTGTTTATTTCTTGTTTGGGCAATCTAATCTGGAGGCTCAGAGAGACTTTAGCCGGCTCGCCTCCGCCTGCGGGGAAGAAGTGCTGGTGAGCTTGATGTTCTCTACTGGAACAAAGAAGATGAAAAGGAGAGTAGGTCAGGAAGCGACAACTTGAAAGGTGGATCTGGTGACAATTTGGATGAGAAACCTTGCAAGAAGAAGTGTTACCTCATTGTGTTGGTGTGAAGGAAGTTGGTTTGGTTTTGGTCCGGACATGCGGAGCAGTGGGAGGCGAGGCCAAGGCTGGATCGCGAGTCACCTTATGCAACTCGGGATCGTACTTGGAACACCTGATGCTCGCGGGTCAAATCCGGGTTGATTTTGGGTTTCCAGGTCAACTCGAAGCTGACCCAATTTATAAACAGGTCGGAAAATGAAACACGAACCCGACCCGTCAAGCAAACAGATTGACCTGAACTTGAAATTTTTCGGGTTGGTTCAATATTTGACATCCCTAAAGGTAAGAGTGTTGATAGATAGTAGGGCTACCCACAATTTCCTGTCCAACCAGGTCCTAGACGAATTGGGAGTGAAATTGGTGGACACAAGGTGCTATGGGGTGATGATGGGCACTGGAAAGATGGAGATGGGTAGAGGAGTGTATAAGGGAGTTGTTCTGACCACACAGGGGGTCCAAGTGAGAGAAGACTTTCTTCATTGGAGTTGGGGAGCATTGATGCATCCTGGGGATGGAATAACTACAAACCTTGGGGGATACAAAGGTTAATTGGGGAGCATTGACGATGGTGCTAGTAGTAGAGGGAAGAAGGGCAATGATCATGGGTGATGTAGGGTTATCCAAAGCCATGGTGAGAGCCATACAAGGGGTAGGAGGATTTCTTGTAGAGTTACTGATCTTAGAGGGGATCAGATTGGAGGAGGGGGGAGACATTTCTCCTTCAGTACAACCACTTACACAACAGTTCAGTGAGGTCTTTCAGCCACCTCAAAGATTGCTACCATGGAGGGAGCATGAGTATGCCATCACCTTGAGGGAGGGGTGTCACCGATCAGTGTCAGGACCTAGCGCTGCCCACAAATTCAGAATGATGAGATTAAGAAGATGATCTGAGAGATGTTGGAAGCAGGAATCATCAAGTCGAGTGTGAGTTCTTTTTTCTAGTTCAGTCTTACTGGTCAAGAAGAAGGATGAGAGCTGGATATTTTGTGTGGACTACCGGGATTTAAATAAGTAGATTGTGCTTGACAAGTTTTCCATTCCGATGATAGATGAGCTGTTGGATGAGTTATATGGAGCAGGGATGTTCATGATCTGAAGTCTGGATACAATCAGATCAGGACGAGAGAGGAGGATGTTCTGAAGATTACATACAAGACTCATGAGGGACACTACGAGTTACTGGTGATGCCGTTTGGCCTCATTAATGCTCCTGCTACATTCCAGTCCCTTGTAAACAGGGTGCTCCAACCTTACCTCAGGAGGTTTGTACTGGTCCTCTTTAATGACATCTTGGTGTATAGCAGGTCAGATGATGAGCACTTATAGCACTTGAAAATGGTGCTAGAGGTGTTGTAGGAGTATTAGCTAAGGGCCAACCTGAAGAAGTGTTGCTTTGCACATCCTAGGGTGGAGTACTTGGGGCACGTGGTATCTCAAGAGGGGGTGGCCGCTGATTGGGCCAAGATTGAGGCAATGCTGAAGTGTCCGCTACTTAGGAATTTGAGAGAGTTGAGGGGTTTCCTAGAGTTGATGGGGCATTATAAGAGATTTTTTAGGGTTACAGCACCATAGCCTAGCTATTAATAGAGCAGTTGAAGAAGGATAACTTTTTCTAGGTAGAGGTAGTTACCTAGGCCTTTGAGAGATTGAAGAAAGCCATGACCACAGTACTGGTCTTTGCCCTACCAGATTTCAGCCAAGTTTTTGTGGTGGACATTGATGCATCAGCGTATGTATTGAGGGCGACGTTCATGCAACAACATAGGCCCATAGCTTATTTCAGCTTGGTGTTGAAAGCAAGAGTTAGGTTGAAATCAGTCTACAAGAGGGAGTTGATGGCTATTAGCTATTCAGAAATGATGGTCTTATTGCGCCGACAATGCATCGTCAGGATAGACCAGAGTAGCTTGAAGTACCAGTTAGAGTAGAGGATTGTGATCGAGAAGCATTAGAGGTGGCTATCAAAGCTGTTGAGCTATGACTTTGAGATCCGATATAGGCCAGGGTTAGAGAACAAGGAGGTTGATGCCTTGTCCAAATGCATGGGAGAGCTCCAAGAGATAGCCATTTCAATACCATTAATGCTAGATTTGGGGGGGGATTAAAGAAGAGAGTGTGCAGGACGAGGGATTGAGTAGGATTAGGATAGATCTTCTGAGGGATGAGAGTAGCCACCTTGGCTATTCCCTAGAAGGGGAGAGTCTGCTGTACCAAGAGAGGTTTGTGCTGCCATGGACATCGATCCATATTCCTCACATATTGTAGGAGTTCCATGGGAGTGTTGTTGGGGATAATTTTGGAATGCATAAGAGCTACAAGAGATTAACAGTAGAGTTATACTAAAAGGGGATGCACAAGGATGTGGAGGAGATGGTGGTTAGGTGTAAGGTATGTCAGAGGAACAAGTTCATGGTCATGGCTCTAGGGGGGTTACTTCAACCCCTAGTTCTTCCAGACAGGGTGTGGGAGGTCACCATGGATTTTATATAGGGGTTACCCTCTATCTAAGGGGTTTACAGTGATTTTGGTGGTAGTTGATAGATTGAACAAGTATGCTTATTTCATTCTCCTACAACATCCTTACACGACAGTAACAGTGGAAACAACATTCAACAAAGAGGTGGTCATATTGCATGGGATATCAGAGTCCATAATGTCCGACCGAGATAAGGTGTTTCTCAATTACTTTTGGAGAGAGTTATTCAAGCTGCAAAGGACAATACTGAAGAGGAGAAACACTTATCACCCTCACATAGATGGGCAGACGAAGGTGGTAAATAGGGGCTTAGAGACACCTCGGCTGTGGGCAAAGTGGCTATTATGGGTAGTGTACTGGTACATCATTTTGATCATTTAGCTTCTTAGATGACTCCTTTTAAAGTGTTGTATGGAAGGGAGCTACCTCACTTGGTGCACTTTGGGCAGAGTAGCACACCTATTTCTTCAGTGGAGCAGTACTTGGAGGAGAGGAACAGAGTGTTGGCGAATTGAAAAGACATTTGTTGAGGACTCAATAGATCATGAAGAAGCAAACAGATGGGCATAAGAAGGACATCCAATTTGAGATAGGGGATACGGTGTACTTGATGGTTTGTCCTTACAGACAAAGGACGGTAGTTAACAGGAAAAATGAGAAGCTGGCACCGAGGTACTTTGACCCTTATGAGATTTTGGAGAGGATCGAAGCTGTGGCTTACCAATTGAGGTTACTCCCGACCGCTACCATACACCTAGTGTTCCACGTTTCACGGTTGAGGAGAGCTATTGGGGATCATGCAGTTAGTTTAGAGCTACCTGACCAAGGATTTGAGGTGGTGTTGGAATCCTGGGAGCTGAAAGGGGTACGAGAAGAAGGGATCAAGGAAGTACTGATAGAATGGAAGAGCCTACTCATTTATAATGCCACATGGGAGCCGTATGAGAGGGTGAAACATTGGCTTCCCTTCTTTCACCATGAGGATAAGGTGGGCCTTTGGGAGGGTTATTATTAGACCGGTCTAGGAGGGACGGGCTCAGTGGGCCCAAAACAGAGCTGGCCCGACTCAGCAGGTGGGAGCAGGAGCTGCACACGCAGGAGGCACGAGAGAGGAAAATTCGGCCCCCTTTGTGGGGCCCAACAAAGAAATAATTCCCTATGTAAGGAGAATGATTAAGGAATGAATTAATGTGCGGGTTTGAAATCAAATAGGAGATGGAGATTAGTAAGGAAAGAAGGTTGTTTTGGGGGGAAATTGTGAGAGCTTACTTAGGGTTGATTCTCTAGAGTTTGTTAGGGGGATTATGTATGTTCTGAATTGAGAGCTGCTGTAGTTTCTTTTTCATGAGGGCTTTTTAGTGGCGTCTAGGTTGTTTGGGAGAGCGATCAACCTCTCGAATTGTAGATCACCTGTATCTGATTCTTCTTATTACAGTTTCAATAAAAATCAGCCATCGTTTTGGTTTTTCTATATTATTTCTAGTTCTTTTTTACTTTTTTTGTCTCCCAGGCGTATCGTCATTCTGTCTATATTATGTTTTATTTTTGGTTCATGTTATCCAGATGATTGAAGGCTGCATGCCCTTTAATACTAAACCGGATTCTGGAGTTCCGAAGTTATATGCTGCTAAAGAAAGGCCACCTTTTAGAGCTCCAATGAGGCACTACCCGTATGGATTAAAAGAGTGAGTCTATAAATATATGGATGGCCTTTACCCACCTCTTGTGTAATGATCTTTCCAGGTTATCTTTTTGTTAGGTTACTCAACGTAATGATAGAATGTCACATTGACTTGTTTCCATTCTAAAAGCAGAAATGTTTAATGTTATAATTGCATTCTTTGCAGGTTAATTGTCACGTGCTGGAGTGAAAATCCTGCTGATAGACCAACCTGTAGAGAGATTATTGAACGTTTGACATATATCCGGAATCACATTACTCAGAAACAGCACTGGAAGGTACCTTTTCATTTGCCATACGTGAATTGTATATATTTCAAGTTGCATTTTGCATACAACACTGCAATAAATATTGGGTGTCAATGTCAAGAGGGTGTCTATCGTAATGTTGAGAGAGTGTTGGTCGTCCATGTTAAGACAACATCGGACAAATATGAGTTGTTAAGTTATGGGTGTAGAAATTGTTGGTGTTGAGCATCAATGTCAAAACAGTGCCAGACGTTGATGTTGAGATGGTTTTGAAATGTCGATGTGTAACGACATCATACGTCGATGTTGAGATGACATCACACATTATTGTGAAATCAAAGTCGTGACTTGCTAAAGAGAAATGAAAATGAGAATATTCAATAAATGGGGTATTGAGTGCGGGTAAGGTCTGAAAAGGTATTCAATAGAGACATCCACTTGAACAATTTAACAAAAATTAATCCAAGATACAGTGAATCCGAAAACGATAAAAATAACCCCTAGATAAGGATAATAGGAAGTTCTTCAAAACACTCAAAAGTAAGGTGATCACTTAAACATCCGCACTAGGAAACCACCCACATAGTAAGATGCCCTACAAAAAAGTTTTTTTTGTATTTCTGTTTCAAGGGATGACATTATAAGAACATGCCAAGATTAATATGCACAACTGAGTGCTTCTCAACCAACTTTGCTCAGCCATGAACCATCTCCATACTAGGTCATCCCCAACTGCTGGGCAAATTATTGCATCAGGTCACCGGATGCAGAGAAAAGGTTCGGACGTCCAATAAAAATTTGTCACGTCACCTGCGCTTTTGACTTGCGCTTTACCTGCGCTTTTAACTACGCTTTGACCTGCGCTTTACTTGCGCTTTACCTGCGCTTTTGACGCGCTAAATTTAAAATAATATTTTATTAATATCCGGACCTATCTCCACGTCCGATGACCGGATGCAATAATTTGCCCAATTGCTGGGCCAACAATGATTCCATTCGCTACTTTGATCGAACACTTATTTTTCCTTAAACACTCTCGTGATTTTTGTGTGAATAGAATTAAGCAAGGCCAACTATGATTTATTGTCAATCTGTATTTCAATTAGCTGCTTACTTTGCTGCTGTTATTGGATATGCATCTCATTCTTTATCTTCCTTGCTTCGCATTTTCATCAGATCAGAGCTTTAAGGTGCTTCCAGAATATTGAGGCAATATGGAAAGACCGGTCTAATAACCCAAGCAGTCGATCGACCCGGTCCACAAGTTCAAATTTCTAACTAAAGGTCTTTTACACCTAATTCATTGATTAATTATTCTATGTGGACGTTGAATGTCGTCCGGAGATCAACTAGAATGTGCCATATCACCCTGTGCTCGATACTGCTGATGTGACACATTCTGATTGGTCTCCGAACAGCATCCTGCATCCGATCTCCTCAGAATAATTTCTCCAAATCAATTCTCTTATATCCTATTTTGTTTTCGAGAATCTTAAAGTTGATGGGTGACATAGCCTTCCTTTATTTTATGCTCAGGAAGCATTGAAATTTGTGAAGATTCTCCTTCATACAAAGAAGCAGTAAAGTGAGCTCAGAGAATGGCGTTGTACAGGTTATGCTTCCCTTAAATTGCTTTTGTTACAGAACCTACAATCAGCCTCGTGTTTTGGGCTTCATTCAGTTTTTATTATTTAAAAAATAATAATAAATGTATGAGTTTGATATTTATAATTTTTTCTTAGGCCTTTTATGTTGTTAAGCGTCCATTTTCTGTTTTACTTTGCGGTTTAAGACAGCTTATTATTATTGATTTGGCTAATTACACTTAACTTCCTTATAGATAATCTTCTACATAGCCAATATTACACATAACTCTAAATATTTTCCGAAATGTTAAACCAAGCCTAAAAACTGTTAAGTTTCTTGAAAAAATAAAAATTAAGATTATAGGCTCAGTGTGATTGGTACGTTGCAGTTGGCTAACTTGTCTAACATTAAGGTTTTGTTTGGGATAGTTTTCTCAATGCTTTCAAAAGCAGTTTAAAAAAAAAAAATTAATTCCAATTTTTTTATTATTATTAAGAATTTGTTTTATAAAGTATTAAGAAAGCTGTCCAAATGAAACATAAAGATATTGGATGGTTGAAATTTTATTGAATGTTGGATCATATTCATTGGATAAGCTATATTATTAGATAAATTATTCTATGTAGATACGGACGTTGCTTGGAGGTGAATTAGAACGTGCAACATCACTTTTTTATTGTGTATGCGGTTGTGTACCAGGTGATGTGGCGTGTTCTGATTCGTCTCCGGATGAGTTTGGTGTGTCGTTCGGTGTCCGCACAGAATAATTTCTCCTATTATTTGGCTTGAAAGGATCTCCTAGAAGGTCAATTGGAGGATTTTAGCTGAAAATTAATAAATGATTTAAAAAAATGAATAATTTTAATAAATTTTATCCACTGGTAATATCGTAAGAGCAACTAAATTCAATAATATGTATTTATTTGTTCATCCATAATGATTGCAATTTAATGCAATAATTCATCAAGGGAATAAATCACTGTTGAAATAAAGTAAATGATTTAGGCTTTGTTTTGTGCATCAGGTGATGTGGCGTGTTCTGATTCGTTTCCGGATGAATTTGGTGTGTCGTTCGGTGTCTGCATAGAATAATTTCTCCTATTATTTGGCTTGAAAGGATCTCCTAGAAGGTCATTTGGAGGATTTTAGCTGAAAATTAATAAATGATTTAAAAAAATGAATAATTTTAATAAATTTTATCCACTGGTAATATTATAAGAGCAACTAAATTCAATAATATGTATTTATTTGTTCATCCATGATGATTGCAATTTAATGCAATAATTTCAAGGGAATAAATCACTGTTGAAATAAACTAAATGACTTAGGCTTCGTTTGGGATGGCTTTTTTACTGCTTCTTAAAACAGCTTTTTAGTATAAATTTTTTAATTTTTGTTCTAGAAAGCTGTTTTAAGAAGTTGGTATCCAAAATAGTTCCACTGAGAATGAATATATAATGCACATAAATTTACATAAAATAAATTTTATATTACAATAATAGTTCTTAAGAAAGATTATGATATGCCCAAACTTAGTTAGATTATTACATATCAATATAATTATGATTTATATGGTTATAGTTTTTTTCTTAGAAATTAGAATAATGTGCAATATTTTCTTAGAAATTTGTTCACAAATGACACCGCCAGCTATTTATTATATGATATCAAAATAATTCTATGAGTTATTATGAAGAATTAAAGCATATTCCATAATATATTGTTATCAATTAAAACATACAAATAAATATCAAGGAATATACTCTAAAGAAAGAATGATATATTTATATCTTAATAAGTAAAGAGTCAAATACCATACAAAGATCACAAGAAGCCCAGCATTTTTTTTTTCATATTAAGCATTCCACAGGTCATAAACATTAGGCTATATTTGGATTAAAGGAACTAATTAGTGAAAATGAAATATTATTTACTTCACAATTACTTCTTGATTACTTCATTCAATTATTACTCATATTATATTAACTTTATAAAAAAATATTATTTTTAATACATTCTAATATAATCTTTTAGGTAATCGTCTGTCTTGCTTAACATAAGTCTGATCTAATACATCTACTACTCTAACAGAATATCGAAAGACTAACTTTTTAGACGACCAATCATCTAAGGCGCATCTCTAATCTAATCCAACAATTTTAAGTATATACTCATTTCACATACTATCTCTAAAGAGAAAATGATCAAAATGATCTGTTCATGATATATGCAGGATCAAAATAGTTCTCAACTATATTAAATAATTATTTTAATCTTTTAATTTTTTAAAGTGGAATCAAAATAATCTTTTGATTAATTTTTAAAGGTTTTGAGGGACCATTTTGGCCTCCAAAAAGCCCTTTTTTTTATATTTTTTTGTGTCTAAATGTAAAGTCACTATCCATATGAGCATTTTCATCTCTACTATATTTCATTGGATTTTATGCTTATCAGTTGAGGAATCATGACATGTATTATCAATTAAATAAGTGAATATAATTAATTTACTTTATTTCTTATCAGTTTTTTTGTTTTTGGTTTAATTCTGTCAAACATATCATATTGTATGGCTTGGGCCTGTCCGACAGCCACGTCAGAGTCTCTTTTAATGTGACGAGCGTGCCTCTGGCTAATTTGTGGGTCCCACACACTCCAATCAACGTAAAAATTTTTTTTTGGTCCAAATCGAAGGCCTGAAAAGCAATTGGAATGTTCAAACAATAAATTGAATAACCAAATGATTTCCAAACATGACAGGCTTATAATCAAATTGAGCAGCTCGACGAGACAAATCCAACGAGCCCAAGATCACCAAATTGTGATATCATTTAGATAATCAAATACTTAATAAACAGTTTATAATTAAGTGAGTTGATATCGGCCGTCCATTTAAAATACTCCCAACATACCCTTAATATTCTTCCTATTTATTGGTCATGCCACTTCCAAAAAATTATAAATAGATCCCTCATTCTTTATTGAGGGGGGAGGAAGCAAAGAAGAGAAGGCTGAGAGAAGAAAGGAAGAGAATTCAAAGTTCTCTTACCGCCATAATCCTCCTCGACCACCTCCCAGCCACCAACCGTTGCCAGACTTTCAGTAAACTTCCGCCCGGCTACCGACTATTGTCGGACTTCTACCCAACCACTGTCGTTGAACTTTCGCTTGAACACTAGCTGTTGCACGACCACTGACTTCGAATTTATAGTCGACAACCAATCGTCGTCGGACTTCCGTCCGACCCTAGTTCGTCGCTAGATTTCAATCTGACGGTTGACTATTGTCATGATCATACTTAACTTCAAGGACAAATAAATTATTTATAATATATTCAAACATTAATGAATTCATTTTAACTGGGTGTGACCCAGTGATTTTTAATTCATTTTAGAGTTTTCCACGTAAAATTTTTTGGTGTTTCTTATGAATGTCAAATGCCTACTATTTATCTGTATGTGTGTTGGATATATCTTTGTACAAAGTTAGGACATTAAAATTTATATTTCTTTACCTTGGTGAATATTCGAGCCCGCAAAAAGTGTTAAATGAAAAGTGAAATGATGAGTGCTTGAAACAAAAAACACAAGATGGAATGATCAAGTAAAAAAAAAAAACAAACTCATTTGAAGCAGTAGAAGTTTTAAGTTTGGTTGATAACAAACAAAATATACAAGATTAATGAAAAAATTATCCCAAAAATATAAAAAGGAGCTCTTCAAAGACATGTTTCCCTTTCCTCTTCTCTAGTTGTTCGTTGCTATTCGACTTATGCGTGAGAGATAGTTTTGAATAGTCGCTAAATAACTTCTTCGCCTCCTTCGACGACGTTCCTTTCAGTCGGATCCGAAGTTACACCTCCTCACCATTCTTCTGTTGGATCAAAAGGAACGATTACGATTTGAGCTTGCTCATTGCGAAGGTAGCTATCTTTCTTCCTTTCGCGTGCTATTTCAACCAAATCTTCTAAATCCACTAAACTCGCATATTTTACATCAAAAAGAAGGTAACAGAGGATTTAACTCGATGTGAGATTTATCAGTTCCCTAAATTCTATTTGGCAAGATTTATCTTGTATACAATTATTATTATTCACAATAGAAAATTCAGCCATTACCGGCGGCTTCGACTGACAGTTGTTTAGCCGCCGGTAATAACAACAGTTTATCCGGCGGTTTGGCCGTCGATGAATATCGAACGGCTGATTGACGCCGTCGGTAATTAAATATAACCGCTAGTACTATTTTCCGGTGGTTTACTGACGGTCTCCGGCGGTTGTCTAGCGACAAGCCGGCGGTCATACCGTCCGCAATTCCTCTGGTTCTAACCGCCGGTATGCCGCCGTTATTTTACCGGCGGTTACCGACGATATTTTTACCGTTGGTGTAACGGCTGGACAGCCGCAAGAAAAACACCAGCTGTAATTGGCGATCAAACCGACGGTAAACTGTCAGTGAAAAAAATCGCCGGTAAGGGTTTCTAACGCCCTTTTTACCGGCGGTCTAGGAACAGTCAAAACGCCGCCGATTTTTTTAAAAACCGCCGTAAATCAATACTTAACCTCCGGCCCAGGCCACCGGTAATGATTGAATTTCCTGTAGTGATTATTATTTTTTGAAACCCCCACATCAATTTATATAAATCGAGATATTACATTTGGGATCAATTTTACATTACAATTATAGTTGAGGAAATATTTTGGCTAATTTTTTTATAATTAATGAAATAAAATTGATAATATGCACTCTGAAATTAAATTGATCACACATTAATAATTTAAGAAATAATTTGAAATTTAATATATTTACACATCAAAACAAAATTTTTTTTTATTAACGAGAAATTCGGATATCTAAATATCATTTCATTATGCGGTCTCCCATACGCTTGATGATCCATCCATCATCCATGATGCTCAGGATCGATGGTGTCACATACCATGATACCATAAACTCCATCGAGAATATTTTTATCATAAGAAAAAATAATAATTTATTTAAATTATTTATACCATGCGTCGCTTTCGGAAGTAATTGAGGCGGGAAGCCCGAGGCGAAGAGCGGGAAATTGAAAGCTCGGAGCGGAGTGGTGGAGAAAAGCGAGCTGTCTCCTGCAGCAGCGCGCCTTATCCCTTTCATTTGTTTTTCGTTTTTTTTCCCCTCCATTAGGAACAAT